TACAGACAGACAGACAGACAGACATACAGAGAAAAGATGTTGATGGTGCAAGGTCCTGCAACATCAAAAATCCTGTGTGAGCTTTAGTTCATTACTGTCGTGAGTCGGCAATCCCGCAATGGCAGTCTCAGCAATTGTTCAGGGGCATTCCCAGGACTAGTTTTTGCGAATGTGAGTACACTAAGCCTCCCGATTAAAGTAGAAAAAGAAAAGAAAAAGAAAAAGCGATGAATTCCTATATATATATATATATGTGTGTGTGTGTGTGTGTGTACGCTGACGTGCAGGCACAGCCAAGATGCGAAGAATTCGTCCATCGATTCCTTACTCATCTGTGGGCTGCAGGGTCTCGATAACCCCAGTTCTGGTCACTCGGTGTTATCTGGAAAATCTCTGCCAAAGTGTGAGCAACCAGATATCACGAACAATTCGAATAAAATGAACAGAAAAAAACAACGACAAAAACGGCAGAAATAAAGTAGTCTCAAACCCAGTGCCGAGTCTTCGTTGCACACAGTGAAATTCCGCAGCCTATATCCGATGAACGCTTCTCGGTTGTCGATACTGCATTTCACTCCGTCAGGTGTCCCGAGTGCGGGTGGACTGCATGGCCGCCGACAGTGAACTGCGCTGGTAATCCTGCTTCGGTAAACTTCTGTTACGCAACCCCCCAGAATCACAATAAACGCTACCGCTCCGCACTGACATGGGTTTCAAAGTAATAACCCAAGTTCCGGTTACAGTACGCAAGTACTGCAATTTATCAATCGTTATTAACTGCTGCAAGAGGGGGGTTTGTATCGGACCCCAAAAAACATGGGAAGCGTGAACTGCGGGCTGGAAAGAGGACACCGACGATGTGGTGAGCTTGAATAACTGATCAATCTCGTACTGCAGGGAAAAACTACAACGATCTACCGCACGAAAAAATGGGAAGCCATCTACTGCACGATCGTGCTGTTCTCGTCCCTTCCGGCAGCCTGTTGATTTTATTTTTTGTTTTAATTTCCATCCGCAGGCTCTTGAATGCTACCAATCGCACATGCTTTATAATTGAGCCTCGGTGGATGAAACCACCTGATCTATATCCTTGCTTGTCTGCAGCTCTCGATTGCAACGCAGCTTCAATGCCTGCAGTTGTCGAGGCATGTCGTTGAAAACGCAAAAGCAAACTGTGTGGATTAATGCTTCCTTTCTGTGCCGAAGTATGCAGATCTAGCTCACCAAAACACACACACCTTGCTTGCTGTTCATGTCTCCTGCTCAGCCACTTCATCGAAGTAAGCCGGAGCCGATCCAGTCCATCAACAAACAATACCACAATCAGTCGAAGATTACTCAATTTCGCTCAACAATGTGTTGATTAACTTTGCACATTAGGCGCTTTTGGTCCTTTTCACACGGGCTTTGGTTGATCCGTAAAGAAACATAAGAGGGGGATGAACAGAGGCTCGGTAGTGTCAGCAACGAAGTTCCACGTCATCATTGACACGTCTCCGGGTCACGTGGTGAGCATTATTGAGCTGCCCGACCGACCATTCCGCCTCACTCAATACATATCTGCCCTAGAAATAGAGGTTGAATGGATGGTATAAAGGTGGATGTTATTTATGGATGTGTTTCGTTGGTGGATGAAAACTGAATGTGGATGTATGGATGGATTGATGGTTGATCTCCTTTTGCCTCCCACAACTCTCTTTTATTATGCAATATAGAACTGGAGGATACTAAATGTGGGATTATCATCCCCTGATTATTTAGTTGTTTCTAGTTTGTTTAATATATACTATTTCCTAAAGCTTCTTTTTCTTTATTTAAATATGCAAATAAAGCACTGTATAGTGGGTCCTTAAATTATATATGGAATTTGACTTTCGATACAAAGTAGGACATTGAGTCCTGTGTTTAATATAGTGTTGGTATACCAAACCATGTATTTAAAACTGGCAATGAACAATCTTCGAATATACTAGTTTCTGTTTTTTATTAGAAATATATTTTTTGCTTTTTTCACTGTTCCATGTAAAGACAATATATGAGAATGCCAAGATTGAAATCTTTGATCAGGTTTGTCTATTATATTGCCAAAGCATGAATACTTGGTATTAGTGGTTGTATTTTTTGGCATATGCTTTGTTCAGATAGATTCAATGAAGAATGATGTGTTCTAAATTAGAAATCTAATCTAAACCAAATTTAGAGTCGTACCGATTCCGGAAACCGACACTGTAGTTTCTTTTTAATTATATGGTATTTATATATCCGAACACGTGTCAGAAGTAATGAATACCATTTCAATGTCAAACAAAAAAAACATCTGGAAATTTGCACAGTTATGATCATATCATGGTGTAGTATTTATATTTTAAGAGAACGAAATTTCATCTTTGGCTGGTTCCAAACTGATGAGGAATATAGCCATGGATAAATTGTTAATAGACAGTGTTGATAAATTTTCAATAGAACTGGAGTTAAAACTGATTGTGAAAAAATATGGAATTTTTTATTCACATTTGCAGCATGAGAGCACGTTCTCTAATTACACCGGAATAAAGAAAAACCATTCAAAGAATTTACAATTACTATCATCATTGATGATACAATACATTTTAATTTTACTTTTGTATTCGTTCTTTTGGGAATATGTAGATAAATCCCAATTAAAAGTTTACCAAAACCTAAAACTTACAGGTGCACATTATTGACAATTAGGGTTTGAGGCAATGACGCATATGACGCTTCTGCCCATGTCTTCCGTGTCTACTTTTACCTTTTTCTTTGTCTCGTTCTCGTTGCACTTTTTTTTCCCCCCCTTTTTTTCCCCCCCCCCTTTTTCCGTCTTACCCTGTCCATGTATTGACACCCTCGGCCAAATATATATGGTATGGACGGGCATGATTATATCCGGATCGGGTATCAATCGGGCACATCATCCCTCCCATTCAAATAATAGAGTGGACGAAGTCTTGGAGCGCAGAGTGAAACCTGGAAAAAGGACCCAATATTGGCCATGAGAAGCTCATTTTGGTTGTCAATGACCAATGAGACGGCGGTGATGTGGTAGCCTTTCTATGGCCCAACCCCATGGGTTTCCAAGTTTCATGTGTATACCAAGTGGCTGATTTGAATGAAAAAAAGTCACTGGCATGGTTGGCATGTTAATACTTTGCTCACCCACAATTCACATTCTTCATAATGTTTGATCAAAAGGGGCATGTATTTAGGGTTTATTGAGTGTCTTGCCATGTGAATGTCATTTCTGGAATTGGAATTCATGGGTTAAATGATTGCAACAACAACCTAGCAGCAGTTCATGGAGTATACATGTGCAACATTCCATATATCTCCTGTTTCAAGCCCAATTGGTGAGACTGTGTTGACAAACTGTTAATGTCAGCATTGATAAAATAAAAAGTTCTCGTTATCTAGAGACAGATCCAACGAGCACAGATAAATTAAGATTGTCTACTTCAATTTTCCATTCATATGTTTATACTTATTGTTATTACTACTCATACTATAGTTCAAAGTTTGAACAACTAGTTTAAATTGTTGGAATTCTTCCACAATTGATTTACAGTTGATTTGGGAGTTTTATGAAATGAATAAAATATACTTGATGAACTCAATCATATGATTTGTGTATTCCATTTTATGAAACATTCTAAAAATATACATGTCTGTACAAATATAAACCATTGTTGACAGAGCAATGGTCACAGTGGTATAATTTTTATTTGCAAGTATACCTTTCATACACGTAATTGATTTAAATTGCATCTTGTGCAAATTAATCAAATGCATTTTCTATATTAGAAACTATGAAGCATGTCAAAAATTTATTTAAAGCTGAAATTAATATTATCAATAATTGAGTGAACTATTATAATATCATAATAATATAAATTTGTTGTTTGATTTCTGGTATAATGTATTTTTGTAAATAATGTCACTACTCAGAATAGACAACAAAAACACAATAAAATGATCCAAAAACATTGCATGATTTAGTGAGTGTTACTAAGCTTGAAGTCAATCAATCAATCAAAATCACATACTCCCCCATATATACAGACATCCTTCAACACCAGAGCCTATTCACACGTACAGGCATACACCCGCAAAATAGACTACTCAATCATTCTTACTGCAGAACCCCACGGGTGCCACGTTGGCAGAGAAGGGCCACGTCGGCAGGTGGCGGGCTAATCATGGAGCCAGGCTCCGAGGGAAACGTCGGCAGTTCCCGACACTGGGAGCCGGTAGCTCGGGGTCAACCGATGTGGCCGCGTTCACACGTAGAGCCTCCACGCCGGCGACCCGGCCCGGCCCTCGGGTCAGTCGGTCATTCGGTCAGTCAGATCTGGGGCCGGGCAGGCGGGGTCTTCGCCTGCGTTGGAATGAAGCCCCCTCCCCTGCCTTCAAGAGCGAGAGAGTGAGGACAATACCACGCGCCGCGTGGATTCCTGGTCCTCGTCCCTTGTCTGGACCAGAGCCCAAGTGAAGGGGAGTGAAGAGGCCACTTTAGAATATGGGTCTTCGTTGCTGCTGCTGGTGCGCTTGCCTGCTCGCTCGCTTGTAGTGTTGGAGTCTTTGGACCAGGAGTTGGACAAGGACCACGCTGTTCGTTGCTTGCTGTCCAAATTGGTGGTACAGGCAAAGGAGAAGGAGGAGGACTACTACCTCTCTTTGCCCTCTACTCTCCCCGAGAGCTGTTGAGGAGGAGGAGAAGGAGGAATCATTGCTGGACGGGAATGGGTGTTGGGTGTTCGTGTTAAGGGTGGCATTGCGATCTCCTGGTGTAGTTTGAATGTAGGCGGGGTGAAAAGTTTCGAGAGATTTTGTTGTTTGTTTTTGAGTGACTTGGTTGTTGTGGTTGAGTTTGGGTGGGACTGGTTTCGGTTTTTTTTTTTTTTTTTTTTTTTTTGGGGTGTGGAATTTGAATTTTCGGATTGTGTTTTTTTGGGGGTGGTGAAGTGAAGGAGTAGATCGTGAGGAATGGTTGGAGTGGGAAGGGGAATTCGGGTTCCGAGGCGTGGGGATTGAGTGATGGTGCATTGACGGAGAAAATGGTGGAGATTGGGGGTGTGGTGGGTAGGGATCGAGAATAGAGTGGATTGGAGCTGGAGGGTGTTGCTGCAGGAGTGAGGGAGAGCGAAGATGGATGGGATGCAGGGATTTAGGTTTTGAGGTGAGGGAGAAGGAGGCTCGGGGCGGTGCGTGAGGCGTTGAGTGGAGGGACATCGAGGGTTGCTGGTTGTGGGACTCGGTTGATAGGAAGAGACGAGCACGACTGAGTGAGTTTGACAGGGGTCTGGAGTTGGGGGAGCTATTGGGAGAATTGCAGAGTAGAGATCTGTGGGGAACAAGTGAGCAGGAGATGAGGCGAAGAGTGATGGTTGGTGGGGAGGAGGAGGAAGAGCGGGTAAAGTTTGAGATTCCTTGAGTATAGAGAGGGAAGAGCGACCCACAATGCAGGTCCATATCTCTCCCAGCATGAGACAGATCATAATATCCACATCGCCCGGGTTCTTGGATCCCCTAAAGATGAAAGGCGCCGCGAGATACCTGAGTTACCGTTGCATCTTCTGGACCTTCCTCTTTCTTGCCTTCTCTCTGCCGTTCCTTTTCATCACCAGCGCGCTCATCACTCTCGATGGCGTTCACAACTGCACATCTCTAGGTATGTCTACATCTCCTGGAATTAGCACCCCTTTCCATGGCCTTGGTTTTCATGCCCGACCGGCAGTTACACATTTCCGCCCCCGAATCTTGGACCTGAAGTGTAGCACATTTTTGTGCGTCTTGTATGCCCATCTTCCTGTGTATTATTCGATGACCAGATAATCTGAGGTCGATATGTATCAACCACACCACTACATTGAATTGAGTTTTTTCAAATTCTGTAACGCCTCCGTGGGGCGATGTTTGTGGGCTTATTTTACTGTATTGTACTTTAATTTATTGTATCCTTGAATTTTAAACTTATGTTTTGTGTGATTTGGCTGTTTTTGTATACATCAGATTGCTTTGGAAGGAAACTTGGACCCAAGTTATCGTGGAGAAGACATGCCACTAAAGTAAGTATTGCGCCTCTTTTATCGTCAGACACGATCACGTCGCTGTAGCATACATCTTCATCTAAAATTACGGCATATTTAAGCTTCTGAATTACTGAAACATTTCGATTGCATGTCATGTAACCCGTAGTTTACGCAGGATTCGGCAGATAAATACTCGGCACTCTTGCAATACAGAAGCGAGAAGGAACTAACTGATATACCAGACACTATTGAGGCATTGTTGATAGAAGCTCGGAGCAAGCAGTATGACATGCCAACTCTATTGCGACGCATGAAATCTATGGTACGTCGGGAGTATCTCCTCTGGCAATAAATGAACCATTGAGTCATAACTTGAACCTGAATGGTTCTGCGGAAGACTTCATGATTGTGTTGTGGTCAGGGGAAAGTTTATGGTATCGTGTGTGTGTGGGTTCGTTGAGCTTCGATTACTGAAGGACGTTGGTTTGTAGGTTGAGGTTAATGAGGAAAAAGTTCGTGCAGCGAAGCTTCAGGAGGCCCTGTACAGGCACTACGCGAGCAGTGGAGTTCCAAAGGGCCTCCATTGTCTTGCGTTGAAGTTGACTGGAGAATATTCAAGTAACGCGCGAGCTCGGCAAGATCTGCCCTCTCCCGACCTGGCTCCACGGCTGACAGATCCAGCATATCATCATCTGGTTGTTGCGACCGATAATGTTTTAGCGGCGGCGGTGGTTGTGACTTCAACAATACGTAATGCAGCTGAACCTGAGAAGATAGTTTTCCATGTGATTACCGACAAGAAGACGCATGCAGCTATGCATGCATGGTTTGCGCTCAATCCTTTAGCTCCTGCAATAGTGGAAGTGAAAGGAGTGCACCAATTCGAGTGGCTGATCAGAGACAACGTGCCCGTATTGGAGGCCATGGCATCTTCTCAGGACGTTAAGTATTATTACCATGGTGACCACACAGCAGGAGCGAACATTAGTCAGTACTCGCCCACTATCCTGGCGTCGTACCTGCAAGCGCGTTCCCCGAAATATATCTCAATTATGAACCACCTCCGCATCTATCTACCATACGTGAGTTTGTTTCTTTTTTCTTCGGTCTGTCATTCAAAAGGTCTTGTTCTGACACCCTCGGTCGGGTAGACGAGAAGAACATGCGGCTGAGTTAATTTGGAGAGTGACACCTTAGATTGTAGGATAGAGAAATTGCATCGTTTTCGGATGTGTTACTTTCAAGCGTTGGAAATTTCCGCCCCCCACCTGCACCCGTGTAGAACTGTGAAAGATCCAAATTGGGGCGTTCTATGTTAGTAATTTTGCCAGTTATGTTTTGCATAAATGTTGGACCTGCATCACGCCTTAACTTTACGGGAAAGTTACCTCATTGTGTACTAATTTTGATGAGGACAATGTAGACCTATGACGTTGCTGCTGGTGGGTCTTTCTTGTTGAATTAAGAGGCGAGCGGGTATTTGTCTTTCTGGACTTGAACGTCACTTCATCTGTGGTATTATGTGCACGTGTCTCACTTTTCGATTGTTGGGAACTTTCTCCCTCACTTAGGTTCCTTCAAACCCGTGCTTCATTAATGACACCACGCAAGCTTTTAAGTGTTTACACAAGCATGAGAGCGTCATCATATTTATGTTGAGCTCTTCCAGTGTTTAGGAGTACCTACTTTTTTGTTCAGGATTCTGGTTGGTTTCTCTCATTCTCTTTCTATTGGACTAAAGGATTCTTTTCACCTTGCAGAGTAAATAATGCTTAGTATGTACAATTTAAAGTCGCAGAAACGTCCCAATGCGTATAACTGATTTCTAAGTTGTTGTGGTGACAGCTTTTTCCGGAACTGGAGAAAGTGGTGTTTCTTGACGATGACGTTGTCGTGCAAAAAGATCTGAGCCCTTTGTGGGATTTGGATCTCAATGGTAAAGTGAACGGTGCTGTTGAGACTTGCCATGGGGATGATACTTGGGTGATGTCAAAGACCTTCAAGAACTACTTCAATTTCTCTCACCCCATAATCTCCTCAACATTTGCTCCAGACAAGTGCGCGTGGGCATACGGTATGAATGTATTCGATCTACAAGCTTGGAGGAAAGCTGATATTACCCGTGTGTATCACTACTGGCAAAAGCAGGTGTGCAATGCTTACTGTACTATCTCGTTTCTGGTTGCTCTAACAACAGCAATGGGTGTTTGGTGAAGTGCTCCTTGTATAATGCAGTGTCGGTTAATTAGAGAAGGGTCAGTTGTGTCTTTGATTCTTAGACATTGAGCCCCTTTTAGTTGTTAGATCCAATGCTTCTGTTAAACAATAGGGGAGGTTCAATGGTTTGGCGTTGTTTGAATTTTGTCTCAGTTTCAGAGGTGATGTGTTGAAACATTAATCCGGTGTGTGTTCGTGTTCAGAATTTGCAACTGAATTTGACATTGTGGAGGTTGGGGACGCTACCCCCAGCACTTATAGCCTTTGATGGCAATGTGCACCCAATACCTGGTAACTGGCATATGCTGGGGTTGGGATATAATACGAATACGAACGTGGAGGCTGTGGAAAACGCAGCGGTAATTCACTACAATGGTCAGGCAAAACCGTGGTTGGACATAGCTTTCCCTCAGTTGAGACCTTTCTGGTCGAAGTACGTAAATTTCTCAGACAAGTTTATTAGGCAGTGTAATATTCTAGACAGAGCGTAGCTTCTTCTCCATCCTCTTCTGCGAATAGAAAAATTGTGATCGCCGCTCCCCCGCCTTCCGGTTCTAAGTCCACTGCCTCAGAGAGACACCAAGTTTGTCAGGTTGAAGGCGTTCACGTTAAGAGGCTCAAAATTGCGGATGGCGACGCATGGGTTGTTACCAGAGTTTACATTGCTGGATGCGCCAACAAGCGAAAAGGGCCTGTGATGTACATGGATGGAAGGTATAATTGGAGACAGGGATAGCTGAAGATGGTGCCCTTGCAACGCGAAGGACAGTGCTGAGGTGGAAGGTTGCAGCGGCATGACCTGTGATAACGATCCTTGTCACATTATTTGCAACAGCTATGGGCTTTATCACTGTTGGATGTTCCTTGCTATTCTAGAAACTGAGTCAGCAAGTTCAATACTGAAGGAGTGTTGTGAAGTGCGTCACCTTGACTTAGGTTCCCATTGTTGAGTAGAAACATCCAAATTGGAATGTGTAAAACCTTTGTTCTTTCATTTTTTATACTTTGGTGGCAATGCCACCCTTATCATGACTATTTTGTTGACCTGCTAGTCGTAACTCTGCTCGCTTGAGTGGATGCGCTGTGACTCTCTCGTGGAATTTTTTGTCGCTTCACCTACTATCGTCCAGCTGGATGATGTGTTCGAGCAGACGAAACTGGGCTGTCCAGGGAGAGATTCGATACTGTAGTGGGATGATGTTGGTCACTTTACTCTGTTGGCAACCTTTCTATTTGTCTGAGTTGGCAACCTTTATATTTCCAATCTCCTCGGCAGTAAGATTTCGCATCCCAGCACTCAACCTTCCAAACCTGATCAGATTCGAAAGCCGAAACTTACCACTGTTCAATTATACTGTTCAATTTTTGTTTTCAATTCCGTAATTTTATGTACACACTCACGCACGAATTTTCTATCGAATGGTGCTGCTTTTTCACTACTTTCGTTGATTATCATTGGTATATACTGCGGGTTGTTCACAAATTTCTCCAGGCCAAACTCTAACAGAAAATTCAGAAACCTGTTCACTGCTTCTCCAAATCTCTTTGATCAAACAGTGTACCCATCAAAAACATGATAATAGATTCAGTACAGGACTTTAAAAATCCACTTGAAATTTTGATGAATATTTTAAAATATCAATCAATTTGACTTCAAAAACTAATCCTAACCAAGTTTTAAATATAATTGTAAGGATACACATATTAAAATAAAAAATCAAGTTTGTGAGTAAATTCATTACCTACGAATTAAAAAAAGCTCTCAAAAACAATAATTATTGTTTTCCAATAATCTTTGTACAAATGTGAAATTGCAATTTCTAAACATCTATTTATGAAATTACATTGTAGTTGGTTTATTTGTTTTGAAATATCATGTGAGTATGAAATCAATTAGATTTGTGACATATAAAAAATAATATTGGTTTAAAAGTAAATTGTATTCTAAACATTGCTATAATTTTAGATACTTCTTTATCAATAAAGATACCACATTTAAATGTATTGGTACTTTTTTCAATTTTGATTTTGTACTCTCATGTTAAAATATATGACACTGTTATAATGTATGAATTTGAAATAACTACAATGAATTATTCTTATTAATTTTTTAACACATGATGCTATTCACACGTATAAAGAAATTAAGCTTTGTTAACAATCATAAATAAACATAAATTTTATATATTTTAGTAATTTAAAATTGAGATGTTTTTTAAATTTATTATTAGAGCATTATTTGAAAAAACCAATTATATGTTTATTTTTTATATTTAAAAATTATTATTATGTATAAAATCAATTTTATTTCACAGAATTCTACCAAATATTATAATAAACAGTTTTTTCTTTTTTTGAATATTTTTTTTGAAAATTATGATTTAGGATTCTTTATAGCCAAATTTTTAGAAATTAGTGATTTTTTTATATTAAAAGAAAAATTCTCTAAATAATAATTTACAAATTTAATATAGATTATAGATATTTCATAATATAAACATTTATAATATTTATAATATTTATCATATTAGATATAACTCTTTAATATAAAGTAAAGATTGTATAAATCCAAAATAATTTAAACCAAAGATAAAACAATATCAAATTTTTATACTTAAAAAATGTTTAGAACTAAATTAATTAACTAATGTCAATCAATTAATTTAAAATTATCTAAAAATACATCAATAAAAAATTATAGATTTTTTCTCTTTCTCTCTAAATACATATATTTTAATAAGAATTGATGTTCCTTTTGTAGCAAAAATTTAAAATTAAAAAAGAATTTTTTATAAAAAAAATCCACATAGTTTAGAAATTTTAAATCCATAATCACATGAGTTGTAAAGATTTTACAAATCAATGTCAAGTACTTTTGTTTGTCCAAACACATCACAAAACTTTTGAAACAACTATAACAACATAGATTACTAAAACTCATTATATATAAAAATTGGTTCCTATAGGAGCACAACCTTAATATAATATACTTGTCTATGTTTGTGTATGTGTTCAACATTGTGGTATAAGTGTAATTAGCTATCAAATTTCAATAAGGAAGAGTGTCTTTTTCACAATGTATACAAGACATGGATATTTCATATATTACATGATTGATGCATATCCCTATTTGTTGTATATGCATCTTTTGTTGGTTGTTTGTCTTAGAATGTTGAATCAATAGAGTGATCTTAAAGATTAATTGATGCCATCTAAAATTATATTTGGTAGTCAATGCCTTGATATATATATATATATATATATATATATGTATATTGAAACTCATTGGTAGTTGCAAGAGTCCTTTAGATATTTAAAGATTATCTAACAATTTGGCTATAGACTTTAAAAGCTTGATTATTTTTACTTAAAATTAACAAGCAATTGTTTTACTAAGCAAAGAGTTTTTGCTAATGTATTTTGACTTTAAATTATACCATCTTCAAACACTCCTTAAACAAATAAATATGTAAATAGATGTATAGCATTTTAAATGGATGTGTACAAATAGACGATATTATCTTTAATATATAATAAAGTATTGTGACATGATATTATTTATAAATTGTAAAAAAAATTAAGTGTATATTTTTCAATATAAACTTACAATCTAAAAATTAAATGTATATTTCTCAATATACATCATTTTTTAGATTAAGATAGTTTCTATTAAAATAAATAAATAAAGTTATTTATTAGATGATGTATAACTAGGTGTGTAATAATTGACAATAAATGGCCAATTTAGAATAAATATTGTATTACATAGTAATTAATCTATTATCAGGGAGAATTAAGTTATCAAGTATCTTTTTTAAAAAAATATTTATGTTTTAATAAGTGAATTAATTGTTCAAATATTTGCACTAAATTTCAATAGTTTTAAGTCATAAACATATGTTATTACAATTCAAAGCAAAGCCTTGTTTATAGCTATTGATCTTTTAAAATACTTAAAGATTCTATAGTCATATAATATGCATTTGTGTAGATAAAATTATCTATTGAAATTATATATAGAGAATTGTTAATGCTACATCTTTAATTGATATTACTACATTCTATGTGACCTCCTTGAAGAAGACTGCCTAAAAGTACTCCTCTTTCTTTTGTGCATTTTTCCCTTTCTTTGTTTTAAGAGAGAATGGTGATTGAAAGGGAGACAATGAATATTTTATGAAATAATAAGTTATGTTTTATTTTTTTTGAAAAAAAAAAAAAATTGTATCAAAAACTATTCAATATAATATTTTGATTTTATTTTTATTTTTATTTTTATTTGGCAATCAAAAATATAAAATAATTATTTATCAATTTTTTCTATTCTTGGATCAATTCTTGGATCAATTCTTCTATGTTTGGCTGCCAAATGCTTTCTAAGCATAGAAGCATGCTTTTTAGTCAATTTAAGTTGTATAGAGGTCAGGCGGGGTGAGCAATATCAATTGGGAATGTAGCATTAATAATTTTGTATATATATATATATATATATATATATTCTTTATACTTCTTTGACATAATATTTAGTTTAGTATTCCAAATAGTAATAATAATATTAATAATTTAATCTTTTTATTGTATTTGAATATATATTTGAATATAACAAATATTTAATATCAAGATGAACATAATATTATTTTTAAATATATATATATATATATATATATATATATTTTTTGACTATTGATTTTGAGAAATGAAAATATTTATTACTGGATTGTAGAGATATTAGAGCAAAGATGTATATATATATATATATATATATATATATATATACACTTTAATAACAATTGGTATAATTTGTTTTTAAAACCTTTTCAACTTATTAACAAAATATAAAAAGATTTGTTGCACTATTAAATTTAACAATGATATATATATTTATATATATATATTCTCTTGACGTAACGCTAGATTTAATTAAAAAGATAGTAAAAACTAAAATTATAAATAATACGATTTTAAATTTTATTGTTTTCTTTTTTAATTTTATAAGAACATAACACATATTTTTCTTTCAATATTAATAATTATATATATATATATATATATATATATATTTTAATAAAAATAAGTCCATTTAATTTTAAGTTTTTTAGTTTTATTTAGAATGTTTGAATATTTAGTTTCCAAAAAGAAAATCTTCTAATTGAACATACTGTACAAAATCTATATATATATAGGTACATCTTTATACTTAAAAGATCTAACTTTGATAAATTGGCCAGGACAAAAATCTTAAGTTATTTCAGTTTTGTTATATATTTGAAAATTGTCTCGAAAAAACCAAGCATCTTTAGTCTTCATCCATTTTATTAATATATAAATTTTTGTGATATCTCGAGCGAAATAGTATTGGATAAAATTCTAGCTCCTTGGATAATTTGCAAAAATTTGAACAACTCCTTCAGAGGTATTAGCCATTTGGGACTAACTGACTTTATTGGTCAATCCCATGTTCAAAGTAATGTTACGGACAAATCAAACTTGAGATTCACAACATACTTGGGCTTAGCAAAATTTCCTGAATTTCATCATGCATACTTACTTTAAATTGGAAAATTCCATTTAAAACCGATTTAATAAAAACATTCTACCTAAGTATGTGTATATATACGGATATATATATATATATATATATATATATATTTATACGTGTCGGGAAAGACAATCATAATAACCAGTTTTAGAATGTCAGCATTATTCAATATAAAGCTGAAGAATGTTTGCAAAACCAAAACAAACATGTCACTATATTGAAAAAGACCACGATTCATTTAACAGCAAATCTTTTACCAATCAACCATACTGTTTAGTCAAAAATTACAAACTCTATCTTAATCGATTTTTGTAAACGCATTTACCTGTCCAATTCAATATCAAGGTCTCAACATTTAGGACACAAGATATTAGTTGATGATAGTTACTGAGAATTGGTGCTCTTCACCTGCATGTTTCGAAATATGAAAAGCTTCAGAAGATAAAAGCATATAATACTACAAAGTCATCGACGTGCTAAAAACACCGACTAAGAACTTCGAAAGGCTCTGTCAGAGGGCACAAACAACTGTTGCACTGCTTGCCAGCCACTTATACTCCAGCTCTCAATATGCTTCACAATCTGCTCATTACCACAACAATTTTTAACTTCATGGGCTTGTGTACTAGAAACAAGCCCTTAACAACGTCTCTCCTGATTCACAGCAAATATATTGGAACCCACATCGATAAAACCAGTGAAATCAAGCAAGCAAGCCAAGCCCAGCTCAGTGAAAAATTGCTTAAGCGAAAGAAAAACAATAACAAAAACAAACAAACAAACAAACATCAGGTAGGATGATGTGCTTGTTTGGTGCCGCTCACCTTTGAGTTTGCATCCAGGACGTATAATGTAGAGCCATCGACATCGATCAGAGGCTTCCACGGCAACCGAAGATAAGTCCTGTAGCATAAATGACGATCTCGTCGTCATGGAGCCGTGACTGCGGCACAAAACAGATCTAGCATGGACGTTTTCGGTAGTTTGGAGCTCAGTCCTCCCATTCACGAGAGCTTAGAACTAGATTTCAGGTTAGGTCGGACGAACCTCAAATTCCAGTTTGCGTTGATAGACTTGTGTTGACGTGATTTCGAATCCTGCAACTCGCCCTGCGATGTGCTATATGTTTCAGGCTTCGCAGTGGAATAATCCTTTGTTTCAACGTCAGAAAACACTATAAAGCCATGGTTTGATTAGGAGACTAAAGGCGTTGAAATTGCTGAAAATGAGACAATGCTGTTACCTCCTCTTGTATGTCGAAAAGGATCAGTTTAGGCTCTTCGAAGAATGGTACCAAGAGCTTTAAATTGCGTTGGTATCTATCTCGTCCTGCACACATCACGCACTGGATTAACCTTTAATTCGCTGAGATAAGAGAGTGCATCGACTTGGGAGTGACTCCACATTTTCTATAGCAAGTCAGTGTGGCTGACTAACCTCTAAATTGGATAGTGGGATCTGCGAATAAGCAATCGTCTGCGTAAAGCGTTGGAGTAAAATCTCCTGAAAATCGACAGAGTGAAGGACCCGATGTTGGGCGTCAGTACAGGCTCGACAGCAAGATGCTACTAGAATTTAGATAACCTAATAATGGTATCTCTTATCTGGAAGAAGTATGTGCAATGGAAATGTAAGATAATCTTAGGTAGGTTCATAAAAACCTTGATATCATTCACATGTGCTCTTATCATCTATGTCAACACCGATTACCTGTAAGAAAGTAGGCTCGTTCATAATCCTCTCGAAGAACTTCCAGCACAGTCTGATTTTCAACCGGAGATTGTTCTACCTCCACGATTGCAGTCGCAGACTCGGAGCTGCCCTGAACGAGACACAATGTGAGCAACCACCGGTAGTAACAAAATTCACGACTGGCATCCACCCATAACAGACAATAACCTCTCTCCCGATGAACACTCGCTACTACAACTCTACTTGCTCTTCAAATTCAATGTTCCAAAGACAGACTTTAGCAAAATTCACCACTGCCACTAAAAACATAGAATCTCACTACAGTGCTATTTCTTTTAGAATGCCCACCTTCACCTTGTTTTCGAAGGTTGAATACCTGAGAGATGGCTAAACCCAAATCATGGAGAAACTCACCTCCCGAAATTGGAGAAGAGGCGCAGAATCTCGGTAACGAGAAAGACGCCAATCCGCAACAACAAAGGCTCCTCCTGCTGCTCCTGCTCTCTCGCATCCTTCTCAATGACCACATCCTTCTCGCGATTCGTCATTCTCGCCACCGCGAATAACCCATATTCGCTTCGTCTCCGTAGAGACGGGTAACTCCAAGTCGCCCCATAGCGCACCCCTCTCACGATCCCACCAATTGGGCAACACCTCCACACAACTCCGCATCGCGAGAGCTCGGGAGAAGAGAGCCTCGAGCTGGGGACTGGTGACGAGAGCCAGGGAAGAGAAGAAGCGCAGGCTGGGGCAGCGGAGGAGGCCATGGCGGAGCGCTGCTCGCGCACCCTTCTTCAGCAGCAGCAACAACGGCAACCACATTAGCAACAAGACGCAGCAGCAGCACGAGCAGCAGGAGCAGCAGGATTGAGATGAACAAGCGACAGAGAAAGAGCAGGCCTTCATTCATTAATCGCGCTCATACACAAATATATCAAATATCATGTGGATGTGTGTATGTATACATATATATATATATATATATACACTAGAGTTGCAAATATCAAATAAATATTTATATTTATATATACATACATACACTAAAGTTGCAAATATCATATATATATATATATATATATATATATAAATAATTTTTTAAGAGTTGGAGCCTTTGGCTTTATGAAAAACATCTTAGAGGAAGACATTGAAGTGTAGTGAAGAGTATTGTGATTTAGATGGATGTGTAGATGGTTGAACACATATAGTCATATACTTTTATTTTAACTATAATATATATATTTTTATTATTATTATTTTTTTTTATATAGATTCAACTTGTGATAGAATAACATGTAATGGTCCATGGAAAAATATTAGTTTAGCAAATAAAGCCTCAAGATATAAATTTTTTGTCTTTTAGTTTTGTTAATTTTCATATGAAGGACAAATTTTACTGGAAATTTACTTTGTTGCAGTTTGAATAGAAGTTCTGTATCTGAGGATTCTAAGTTGATTCATGGAACAAAGATTTTTTTTATAAAAATTCTCTAATTATAATAGTAATAGTAAATAAACACAAAGTAAACACTTCTATAATTAAGTGTGTTTTGTTGTATAAACCATGTGCCAAGTTCTTTAATATCATTATAGAATCTCTAATTTTATTTTATTTTACGCAGTGGAAAATATATATAGAGATGATATTTTAAAAAATCAACAACAAAAAAAGATTGTACAATTGTTTTTATTATAGGTAGAAGCCAAGTCAATAGAAAAACATTATACTTTTTTACTACCAAAATTGTGAAGATTAAAATTGTGAATGAGAAGGCTAAATTCATCAGTTCATATACTAAAGGTACATAAAATCGCACAATTTATATTATATTTTGTAGAGAATAACCATATAAATATCTTTAAAAATATATGTGTATATATATATATATATAAAGATGGAATATGAAGGCCACAAAAACAAAAAATTTTCATCTGATATAAAATAAAGAGTGCAAGGGTGAGTCAACAATTCTGGATTAAGGATTTTTCTTGTTTATGGAGAGTGACAGATTAAGTTTAAAAAATAAACATATTTAATGTGTATAAATACAAACAAAGAAAATTAATCTTAAACATAAATATTTAGGAACAATAATTCTTTATTCTTATATTAATATATTTTAAATATTTATAACTCCTTAGTGGCAGTATGAAACAAAATAAAATTTAAAAATGTACTTAAATGTTTGTGATTTTATTTATTTATTTATTTGGTAGATATTAATTACATTTGTAAGTTAGATATATATTGGAATATAGATTAAGACTTATTAAATACATAAAAATTGTTTAATTTATTTTTTAATTTTGTATAAAGTTCACATGGCTTCTTACAAATTTAAGCAATAAAATATTACTTGTACATGTATATGTATTTGTATATATATATATATATATATATATATATATATATGTGTGATATGCACGTTAAAAATATAAATGTACTATTGTTGAATTTTGGAAGAGAAAGTTTAAAAAAGACCAAACCACTTAATGTAATAATAGCTTTAATAAAAAATACAATTATTTAAAAAAAAAAATCTAAATTTACCAAAAATAATTATTAAAGGGCTTAATTATACAATCTAAGAAATGTAATTTGGGTTGAAATAGAAGTTTAAAACTTAGAGACAGTATCTAAAAACAATATGTAAAATGAAAGATCTTGTAGCAAACAATAGTTCAGAACCATTAAAGTAAAATAAGAAATAAGAAATAAAGAATAAACTATAATTTTTTCAATAAAATAATTTTAAAAATATAGTATATTTTAAATAGAAATAAGGTTGTAGTTTTCTTTTTGAGAAACTCAATGATCATAAATATATAACTCTAAGCTTGAGAAGCAAATAATTTATTATATTTTTATTTTTATTTTCTATGGTGAAATGAAATAATGTCTTGATGTTACTCACATTTATTATTTGAATGGTATATTTTGAGATTTGTCTTTGGTAATTATATTGAATTTATTGTTGGGTTTAGATCATTTTATATTAGAAAATTTAGAGGTGTAATTATTACTTGTAAAACAAATTAGATGAATTTTATTGCATACAAATAAAAATTTAAAAATTATATTTATGTATTATAAGACCATAAATTCAAATACATTACAACCTAAATTTTTGGATCTTGATTAATAAATATTATTTAAAAAAAAATACTCTAAGCACACTTTTATTTGCTTATCCACAAAATTCTTATGTATACAAACAAAAATGATTTAAAAAACACAAATCTGATTAATTTTTTATTAAATTTATTTTATTACAATATATTTTACAAATTTCAATTATTTGCAACTAGTTTTCAACTATAATTTTTTCTTATTCTTATTATAAAAATATATTAAAATGTAAAAAAAGTATGTATTACTATTGATGTCTTTATATTATATTATAATTTTATGTTTTAAATATAATAATCTTTTTATAATATGTATTGATTTATATTTTTTAGAAAAAAAATGGATGTGGTATGGTAGAAAATATTTGATGCATTTTTTAAGTTTTATTTTTTTTAATTACTGATATTTTATTTAAAGAAGTAAAAAGATATAATACTTAACTAGATTTTTTAAAATAATTGTACAATCTAGTTAATTAAAAAGTAATAATCAATAAAAATTAATATAGTTCTTTAATTCTAATTATAGTAAATACTAGCTTTAAGTTTTACAACACAAATTGGAATTGACATTTTATAGTTGTATACACTTTCTTTTTTATCTTTGATTTTATTTTGTTAGTGAAACTTAAATGTGTGATAGAATTTTATTATATTCAAACGTTGTCTATAAATAGAAATACAATATCATATAATTATTAGTTCTTTTTAATTATTTAAATTTTTTTCTAACTCTAAATAATTCATGAAAGTTTGGAACTATACAAATTTGACTTGATCCGTGATTTTTAATTTAGCCATACTCCCGCCTTCCGATCGACCCAAAAATTTAACGGGTCAGATTCAATCTTCTAGTCTTGGGAGTGACGGCGTCGGCGGGCGATCTCCGTCTGTGGGCGATCTCCGTCTGTGGGCGATCGATCGGACGGCGGGGAATGGCGAAGTGGGTTACACAGAGAGAAAGAGAGAGGAAGGGTTTTACTCTCGGTGCCGAGGAGAATCGGGCCTCTTCCGTCACCGAGCATTTTGTAGGTTTCGATCGTAGAATTTGCTCACAGTATCACACAAGTCGGGGCTAATTTGTTTCGTCGGTAGTGGAGCGGAAGCCTCTTTCGCAGGGAAAGGCAGCAAAATTATGGCTTCTGCCTGTATCCGTCAGGTACGTTTAGATTCCACGCAGATTTGGGGGAAATTGTTGTGGTAGCAATGAGAACGATGGTGTTATCGCGACGCAGATTTCTAGGGTGCAAGATGTATTTGTATCGTGGTATTGGGTTCAGCAGGATTTCGGCATTCGGCAGCATTGAGAGGGATTTTACGCAGTTTTTTAGTTTTTAGTTTTTAGTTTTTAGTTTTTTTTTTAGTTTTTTTTTTTTTTTTTTTTTTTTTTCTCCTAACTTTTAGGGCTTGGTGTGGAAGGTGGGTTTGCGTTGGGTTTTGAGTCGTAGTGGTTTAGGGGTTTTGGGGTTGTTTCATGACGATTTGATCCTTTTGTGTATAGATGGCCTCTCTATCACTTAGGAGTAGAGTATTGGCTGTGCCAAGGGCATTGAAGGTTGTGGGTTTTTCCTCGCCTTCTTTCACTCCTACCGTGAAGCCTTGGTGGAGACAGGCGTGTGAGCCACTCCGTGCATCTTTCCAGGTAAAGTGGTTTCAGCCTCTTTGTCATGTCACTTTTGGTTGGAAGTTGCAGTGAGTTTGGAAGCGTGTATTTGCGTTGGGCCTAAGATTGTCGGCGTGATCGTATGGTCTACGACGGAGAGGGTGGTCGATTTTTATTTAGAGCCGTTGCCAATGTTGGGGGTGTTAAATTGTACCTGTATCTGGGACATGTAGTATGTTAGAAGGTGAGTTCGTTCATTTAAAACTAGGAGTTCTGGGTAAGAGTAAGTGTCTTTTCATTCTGAAAAGATAAAGTTTGAAATTAGGGCTTTTGCTGCTCTGCAGCTTGCAGCTGTACCCAGGCCCATGTTGACCGGAGGTAGGGGACATTTCAGCGTTTTTTCTCAAGCTGTAACGACCACTGCCGAAATGGAAGCTGAAGCTGAGACTGGCATTGTTGCGAAGACAACCATCCCTGAATCTACCGAGCTTGCCCCTCCAGCCACAACGAAGACGAAAAAGCTAACGAAGCGTGTGAAGCACATCATGGAGGTTAGTAGGGCTAGGATTGTTGAACACCGTGGCAGTGGTGACCATTACATGAATTAGTTCACGTTTTTTGGGGAGATTTGTTATGCTATGTCTACTCAATGCATATTTTTAGATTGAACGATTCAGTTGACTTTCAAAAATTACTTTATTTCAGATTCTTGACAAGGAAGCTGTTGAAGTTGCCAACAAGGAGAAGTCTATTCCTGATATTCGACCAGGAGATGTTGTGCAACTGAGAGTGGTGAGTTGCGTCATTCTCCATCCGTTGCGTAACTCGTTGTAGTGATTGTTATCACTATGCAATTGCCAATCTTGTAACTAGTCTGCCCGTTTTTGTGCCATCTCTGCACAATTAGACTGTAAATAGCGTTTGTTATGTTATTAACTGTCAGCTCGTTGATATGTTTAAGCTCTTAGTGGAGCTGCGAGCTTTTCAGGTTTCCTTCTTTCTCATTGAATCACATTGGATCCTTTTCAGGAAGTGCCCGAGAACAAACGCAGGGTGTCTGTGTTGAGGGGTATCGTCATCGCCCGCCGCAATGCAGGCATCAACACCACCTTCAGGATTAGGAGAGTTATTGCGGGTGTCGGAGTCGAGATGGTTTTTCCACTGTAAGTCCACTTTACGATTGTGATTTACCATCCCTTCTGTCGAATGACGTTTGGACAAGCTTGAGCTTTAATTTGATTTAATTTTTTTTGCCTTCTGTTTTTAAATGAGTTTTTTTTTCTGCGTCTTGTGCAGCTTCTCGCCTAACATCAAGGAAATCAAGGTGGTGGACAAGAGGAAAGTGCGTAGGGCAAAGCTCTTCTATTTGAGAGACAAGATTGCTCGCATGTCTTCTTGCTAATAAGACTATCTCTTCCTATTCTCCAAATGTTTGCAGAGTATGATCCCCCCCCCCCCCCCCCTTTAGTGCATTAGGTAGACCGTCTAAATCTGGAATGCACTTATTCTCCCCAGAGAATCGCACATCTTTGTCATATATCGAAATGGGGGAAGAAAAGTGAAACACCCATATGCAATATTTGCTTCTCCGAGCTCTCGGTTTTTTTCCATGTACTAAAGCCAGCACAATTTTGGGTAAAGCCCGTGGCACATGAAATTCAATTGCTATCTAAATAGTGGGCGGTATGTTGAATGCGTCTAGGTAGTCTGTTGTCCTGATCTGGTTAAAATACGCACTGGATCAGTTCATGTACTATAGTACATCTTTTCCGCTGTATACAATGTAAAATGTTATTACGCTCTTCTAAGGTGTGGCGTGGAGTTTGGGGGATCGCAAGAAGAGCCTGAAACAGATCGATCCTGATGCTCAACTAGGCGATCTTTTGCTAACCGAGAAGCTTCATTTCCATTTCAACTGCAATTCCTTTGAGGGACCATTCAGTTAATTCTTAATGATGAACTGGGAAATCGAGTTAGAAACGTTTTGATATTACTACGTAACGATAATACACAATCGACAAGTGCCATCTCCCTGGTCGTCTCTTACTTGTTACGACGTCTACCTCGACCAACCAGTAAAGATAATTTGCTTTGAAATTCCGTCCCACAACAAGACGTGAATTGAAATGGGTCCACGCCCTATCCAACAAGTTACGTAACAATTGAGCATATCGTGATTTTCTGGTCGCGGTGCATGGACTGACTCCTAACCAAATACTTTTACCTGGTGACATAGTGCTCCAAGTGTCGATAATGTTCATGTGTTTTAAAATTATTAATTTAGTCTCGACATGTTCAAACCTTTAGTTTTTCTTTACAAGTTGAATAAATCTTTTCAACATCTTAGTAACAGATGATACTTCTCATATTCTTGAATTAAGTAAATAGAATATGTCACTAGTCAATATGTAATTCTCTTTAATATTTTACCTTGAATTGTTAAGCTCACACTCATCTTACATCTTTTTTTTATATTGTAATCTACTTAATAAATAATATTCCTTTATTTTAAATATTTTTGTATTTTCAGAATTTAATGATGTCTTGTTAGAGCTCACCTATTGTCTTACATACTATTGTCTTACATACAAAAGTCTCATTTCATTACTATTAAATAAATATATGTTAGGTTTTGAATTGAAAAAAAAAAAAAAAAAAAAAACAAAACAAAACAAAAATGATTTATTAATATCATTTTTTACATTCAATTTGTTTTAGTAATATATATTCATGTGACTGTTATTTTTAAAAGATTTTATCTTACAAATATTTCACAATAATATTGCTTAAAATTATTACCCATATTACATAATTTTTAGCCTTAATTCATATAAACTCATAGATTTTCACAAGTTTATCTTGTTTATGCAATATAAATTAATGAATATTTCCAATATATTTATATTTAATTTTTAAAAATAAATAAATATTTCTAGCTTTACTTTATATAATGAAAAGTTTTTTTTTGAAAGACAAATAAATGAATAATGAAATAATAGGAGAAAATTTACTTCCAACAACTTAGACAATTTAGTGCAAATACAAATATGCAATGGTAATTTACCAATTTCAAAATGAAATCTTTATTTAAAAATTTAAGATCTTATAATAATTTCTTTAAATTTTCATCTACATTATAAAACTCAATAAATCATTTTTAAGTTAAAATATTCCATAAAAATTTTATTTACTTATTTGATGCAACTTTAAAAATATGTGAATCTATACCATCTTATCCTTGCTTAAATATATGATAATACAATCTTAGACTGCAGATAATCTACTAATGCAACTTTAAATATCTAACATTCTTCTTTGTAGGTTTATACAATCTTATTATAGGATTATTGTCACATCTCAATACATTCATTTGTCATTAACTAACATCCACATTGATACTGATACAGTGGGACTACCAAAAAACCATACCCACATAATTTGTAAAGATTATGTTGAGCATTTCAATGTGATTTTAAGACCTACAAAAATCGTACTTAGAGCACCACATATTAGAGAGGACTTTGATGAAAAAGTCACATTACATGAATGACAATTTACTGAATTAAACAGCACCGTGTCTACCTGCGCAATCAAGCAGCAATTAACCGCATGTCAAACTCACATTGGATAATGTAAATATCCAGATGGGTTAATTCTTGAGGATGTTTTGATTGGGATGATTGTGAGCTTCACAACGAAGATAGCATTCCTATCAACTGGAGTCCATGTGAACTTCGTCTGTAGCTGCTCTAAGCCTGATTGAAGGACCACCGATGATAGAGATTAAAGTGCAGCATGGGGATAGAATCAAACACAATTTCAGTAGTTATTAGTGTCGAGGTGAGGCAAGTTGGGTAGAAACGAAGTTGGCGTTTAAGACAGTGGTACAGTGTACGTTCTGCTACAATGGTAGTTCTTTTAGTGGTGATAATGTGTTGGACCTCATAGAAGTGCTGCGAGTGACTAGCACTGGAAGACAATCACGATACAAGCTCTAACTTTTACGTGTGTATATACGGTATAAAATGATATTGTTGGAGCCCATCGCTGTGCTCTAGCGATAGTTCACTCAGTTGAAACATTCAACATTTGATTCCACAGACCAGCAGCCATAACTCTTGAAAACTATACCTTCTATTGCAACAGTAACAATCTACATTTTCATTGGGAACATAGTTTAATGGAAGCATGGAGTGACAGGATATTGCAGGTGCATCCATGCTAGCAACCATCAAAACCATTTCACAACTGACAATAGAGCGTGATCAACAAGTTTTTTTTTTTTTTTTTTTTTTTTTTTTCCTTCTGACAATGTGACATCCAGATGCAAATAGGACTCCGGTTAGTACGATGAATTCATCTACAAAAATAAGGATAAGACCTCATCGTACTGTTTTAGAACGGTTAAGATGCACAATTCAGTTCAGGTTAAGAGACTACATCAGAGTGAGATTCAATCACATGAAGAGAATTGTAAGAATTACTTGGGGACTGGCTCATTGAAGAATTTTAAAATGATATACATAGTCTACAATCCCAAGAGAAGGACTCCTCTCCGCAAATTGCTTCCACACTCAATCATCAAAGAGGAAAAAAACAAGAAGATCCAATTCCCTTCTCAATTGTTCACGAAGTGTCAACAGATTACAAGCCCTAAATCGTTCTAACCTCACGAGAAGGCAGAAAGATCTGACCTAGGGACCTTAGGCGGCGACCTGCTCAGCTGCAGCAAACTGAGAAGCCAACTTGTCCAATTGCCCCTTAACACTCATGTCAATGTAGCGGGAGCCGTCCTTTCCATACTGCACAATGAAGCCAGCGATCAGGGAAGGGTCCACAACGTTCTTGATCCTCACATTCTTCGCGCCACACAAACTCTGAATCTTCTTGGCGATGAGGGCAAGCTGTGGCTTCTCGATCTTGACAGCCGAGATAACATTAGCCACCTGAGTATCCGTGAGCTCGTTGTAGATGGCCTCGAATTCCTTGGTGACTTCCCTGACGATATCAATCCGCTTCTTATCCACCAGGAGGTTGAGGAAGGAGAGGGTGACAGCGCTGAATTCTGCATCCTCAGCAACGGTCTTGATAATGCTCTTCTTCTTGTCACCGTCAATGATGGGAGACACCAAGAAATTATACAAGGTGTCGTTGTTCAGGAGCTCACCCAGACCCTCCATGTCCTTGGCGATCTTCTCCAGGTCGTTGTTGGACTGGGAAAGATCGGCCAAAGCCGCGGCGTACCCACCAGCAGCAGTCTCTGCCGACGCCACCACAACCCCCCTGCTGGAGCTCGACGATGGGACGGACGTGGCCTTCGCCACCTTAGCTATCAATGCGTTTCCCCTGAGCGTCGACCCACTTCCGGAGACGAAGCTCATCCTCACCTGCGACACAACTCGGGAGGTAGTCACGCCATTCACAGATGCAACGGGCACCACGGCCGCCCTCGCACTAGCCACAGACTGCTGCACAGCCTCCATTGCCGCAGATTCTCTCAGAGGTTTCTCTCAGCTGGCGTGGGTGAGGGAGCGGGGAGCTCAAATTCACTCGGTAAAGAGGCACCCAATTCGAGAATATGAGAACCTGACGCCTGCTGTAGGGACGAGGGCGAACACAAGGAGGAGGAAGAGGGCAAGGGGGCCCAGACACAGCATTTGCTGGGGGGCGCCCAATGGACGGTAGCTGAGAAGATAAGGTGGGATAGGGGAGCCTTTCCTTCCTCCATTGGCTCTGTTCCGTTCCTTGCGTCTCGTGGCCACAAATTCCGTTGTTTTCCTCCCGTTTCTCATTCATTGCGTCCTTCGCAGCCTACTTTTCCCGAGTCGCATAGAAAGGTGTTCTTATTGTCGTGGTCTGCAACGAGAGTTCATTCTCAGAATTGGAAGACCCTACGGCACCAAAGATTTTCCGACAGAACAACGGGAAAGTTGAAATCACTGATCACGGTGCAAGTTATCGTGATATATGATGTACTCTGTGAACATGAATCAATATCGAGTGCCCAGCTTGCACAAGAGAGGGTTCATAATCCTGACAACTAATGAACGGTTCGAGGCTTGAAATCTTACTCTGAGATTCCAAAATGACTACACATTTACTGCAACAAGTAGCATGAAAAAGAGAAGTTTCAGAATTCAGATTGACTGGAGCACATTCTTCAGAGGGATCAATGCAATATTTTCACATTTCGATACATTGGGAACGTGAACCATGCTGTTGAGGCAAAAATATTTTGACCAAACTAAGCCAATGCACAAGCTAGCCAAATGGGCCCTGTAGGTTGAAAGCTCTAGTTAAGTACGACAATGTTCGTTTTATACGAAACACTTACACAATCTGCCCAGCCTTAAAGTAATATCGGACGCATTCCTCCACCTACCTAAAATCTTAAAAGCCATGGTCATCGCCCGAACTGGTGTGTTCAGTGTGGTGATGTAATGGGTTTAATACAGCCCACATATTCAATCGGGTTTTTGATTTCCCTTATATATAGTCACTAATGTACATTTTCTTCTAGAACGTTTAAGAAGCCTTTCCAATGATGTCCGATAATGCGAAATCATGAAATGGAGGGCCTGCAAAACGATAATCCGCGTTTTCTTCAATTGGTAGACAAATAGCTTCAAGGAACCAATTGCTAAAAAAAGACAGAAATGTCCATAGAAATGTACGGCAAGAGTAATGGAAGCTGCTACTTACCTCCTTTCTCCCCAAGAATATAGAAGGGTATCGAAGCGACTGCCTTGGTACCACCTTCACTCCATTGCACACTGCCAGAGCGGTTAGGGTAACCAGTCGGCGGCCCCAGTATCGAGGAACACATTGCTGGCTCATGCATAAGCCCAATAAAGTCATGCGCACGCCTCCATACAGACTTGTCCAACACTTGCTGGGACCGGGCAACCTACGCACACACGAGAACAATTCGTCAGCTTCGTATTAAGACCAAGAGGATATCTGTTCAAGAATGAAATCTCTCCATTCAAATGCAAAATCTAACACGAACTCAGAACATACTTTAGAGAGGCAGACAAGAGCTCTGGGAGAAAGCTCTCTGTGACATGTTGCCAGTTTCGCAATAGCTGTAACCACGGAGCACAGCAAACGGGACTGGGAAACAGCTGGTCCTTTGGTGTCTTCAGTTTTTTGTTTGGTATTGCCCTTCATGCGGCTGTTGAAACAAAGTCAGAAACGAATTCCATAAGTTGAATGCAATATACCTTTGTTAAAAGTACATGCTAAGATGTATCGTAACAATTACTAATTGTAAAGAACCTGTAACAAATCACACAACTGCATAAAGCCCAACATTGGGGGAGTCAAACAAAGCTCTGCAGTTTTAGGACTCAAAATACAGAAGGGGAATTTTTAAGAAGGTGAAAAAATTACCTTGAAGCGAGGTTCTCATACAGAAGTAGCTCAAGCGTCTCGAAAAGCTCTCGAGCAGCAGTTTTATAAGCAAGACCACCTCCTCCATGCTCACCCACTGCCCAACACAGCTGTAATGCGAGTTCCGTCTGTGCAAAGAACAGAAAGAAAACAACGAAATTCAATGTCCGCTGAGGAATACAAAAAGATGCATATTCTTGAAACAGTTGAATACTATTGAACGTAGAAACAAAAAAATATTCATCATCATTAACACCAACTGCATGCAACAGCAGTGCACTATAGACCCCTTGGTTCTAACTAAATAAAATAATCTAACACGCAACTTGCAGATGCACATGACGATGAGCCTTCACAATTCATTATTGTACTCCTTCAGAAGAAGCTAGGAAGCGTTAACACTATGAAGAACTAATCTGATAGGTACAAGTAAGCCATACCTTTGCTGAACTAGTATGAGGTTGCCCAATTCTATCCATTAAAGGTTTCTGCGTCAGGCATGAAACACACATTAAACGGAGTCCCTGATTTAATTGCAATACAAAACCTATTCTTTGAGAACTACCCATAGACGCAGCAATAGAGAAGTTAGCTTGCCTTTAATACAGCTACTAAGTGAGGTGATTGATGAAATGCTGCCATTATGAACTCCAGCAAAACTTTCTGTGCCTGGATAAGAAAGATGGTTACGACAGACACACCAGCGAATTATTATTAAAAGAGATTTTAGCAAGTAAACCAAAGTGGAAAACACAACATACCACAAAATGGAAAAATTTATCCACTACAATCGAACGGTGGTTTCGAGAGGTAATAAACCTGTGCAGTAAATTTTGGATCAGGAAGCATTGCGTCAACTCTCTGAAATATAATGGGCAACAGTGCAGCAAGTAGCGCTGCACCACCGACAGTCAAACAAATGCATTTTCGTTAATGATGAAATTCCTCGAGTGCATGCAGAACCCAATATTACATGGGTAAGATGGATGAAACATGTTTATAATTCTATGTCGTGCCAGAATAGTAGCCATCTATGACAAAACATTATGAACGACGATCGTCAACCATTTATAAGAGAAATCACACTGAATATTCTTACTTCTCATAAATTGAAATGGCTCAATTAGTCAACCAAACAAGCTGGATTCTGTTCATCACCATGAGTACAAGTAAACTTACAGTCATTCACATCTCGTAATGCTATGGTAAAATATATACGAAGTAATGAGGGTGCCAGTTCCAATGCGTGTTGCAGACGCTCTGATGGATTCGACCCCATAAGAGCTTTCAGCGCAGCGGCCATCCCTGGAAAAGACCAATGCCGTTCCTGTAACAAATACCCGAGGTAAGATGACTGTCTTCAACTCGATACCCTTAGAAACACAGATTTGCCTCTGCCGACCACCCATATACCAATCATTTGTACAAACCATTATCTAATACTAAATAAGGGTTGAGGATTGTACTATCAGCACAACCACCAATAAAAGGCGAGTGATGTTTGTGTCGAGGAATGGTCTTTACCGCTAGGCCCTCATTCTCATCCTTCAGTAAATCCGCGAACAATGCTTCAGTTTCCTCCTTGGCACTGCCATGACCATCAGTCTCAGCGGCACCTCTACTATCAGCTATGCTGGACCCTGTGTACGCCTCGTCCATCAATGCAAACAAAGCCTGCAATCAGAATACCACAAACGAAGTAGAGACTTAAAATAAGAACCTATGTACTTCCATCTTACCAAGAGTTACAGTACAACTTCGTTGCTTCTTGTTCCAAAAAGCACAAATATCCTGAGAGAATTTCAAAAACTACAGTATTGAACAAAATAAATCCCATAAGCCGATCCCCAAGAATTTTCTTCTGATCCAGTGAAAAGAATTGACAATTCATGCAGTTGAAAATAAAATCACAGGGAAGGTGATCATGCCTCGGGTGCAGGACTTTTTTTACTCGGACCGCTGGTAGTCCCTGGAGTGGCTCCAGAACTGGCCTGTAAATTTTCTAGAGCTAATACCAAGGCTGCACATTCCTCCAACCAATAAGTTACCAATCTCTTAGTTTTCAAAACAGCTCATCAGGGTACATAATAATGGGCGGGAGAAACTATGGAAAAAAATGAGTGGAAATTGAGAAAATACTCAGAACAAATCTCGATTCTGAAAAGGATGGCGGAACACACAGGCACACTTACTTGGTAAGTCAAGTAGAGCAGGAAACAACGTTAGAAAGGAGGAGACTCCCATTAATGATGGCAGGAGATCCATAAACGGTTTATCCAGCCTGTAATCAGTTCATTTCCCAAAAAGCATTAGGATACACAGGTTTCTAACAAAGAAATCGTTATTTGAGCTATAACATCATAATAGAGCGAAAATAACTCCTGATGAATGCAACTGTGTCAGGAACATGAGCAGCATTCACACGAAAAAGTAAGCTTACTTGTTGCTTCCCCAAGCAACCACTTTCAAAAGGAGTGGATAGTACTGCAAATACATAAAAGAAAAAAAAAAACAAAACAAAACAAAAAACAAAGTGAGCTCGCATGATGCGTAATTAGAATTCCCCAAATCAAGAGATTATTCTTGGAAATAAAGTTGTATGGTCAGAATAAATACCCAAGCAAGTACTTTAAGGTTCAGGTTTTCGACAACTCATAACAAATTACCTGTGGAAGTAAAGATGGGTGAGCGACCATCAATTTGGCCTTGTTCTGATTCAGAAACTTTAAAGTAGCAGCAGCTACAGTAGGATCGGCATATTGCCTAAAACATCGCCAAAACCAATCGAATTAGTTTATGAAAGATGTACAGACACGTGCAAATAATTTTTACCCAAAAATCTAACAGTTTACGGCGTTTGCCGATATGTGACGCCACATCACGAAACCAACTTTTCGACTGATGAGGGCATAGTCATGACGAGCAAGTGATTTGCAGCAAGTTATTTTTCGCAAAACAGGCATTTCAGACTTCTGACAGCGGCTCATATGTCCAAACTGAGAAACATCCGTGCATAAATAGGCCACGATTCACATAAATGTATCAAAGCGCATGCAGCACCTGCTAGAACTCAATGCAACTTTTAAGGAAAACGAGCAGTGACTTACCTACTCAGACAAGAGCGAAAAAAGGTATGCAGACTTGGGTCTGAATCATGTAACACAATTTCACCAAAATCGAGGAAAAACTGCAAAATAGCCTATTCCATAGAGAAAATGTTTAGAGTGATGGTAACAAAAACATAGGCTGAGTACAAGATACAGACCAAACTCCAAGTTCCCTAGAAATGACACGTGACTAGCCAATACATGCACAAAGAAGTACCACAGAAAATATACACCCTCGAGAAGTAATGCCCACGCTATTTAAAGGATAAAACTTTCTGTAACTCGTCCTGCAAATCAAAAGTCCACGTTGATTATATGGCTAGAAAGAACCTTACCAGCAGAAGTAGTCCAGTGCTTGTTTTCTGAGATGAAGACGATGCAGAGCAACGGTTGAAGATCTTCACAAGGTGAGGATATACCCTTCCCACTAAATCACAATTTCGCTCTCCCTTGCCACACAATTGATGCAGATTTTTAACCTGGACAGGAATTTCAGACGTGATTAAGTGACATAATACACCAGACTGTGGTTCTAACACAATCAATATCCCTATCCGGACCAAATAGTTCAAATGTTACCACTTTTAACAAATCCTATTGGACTTGTAATGACAGAAAGAACCAGCATTACATGGCACTCAAAAATTTCTGGTTAGCAGATTACAGGACTGAGCGTTGGCAACGACAAACCTTGATCACCGCAGACAAGGCTAACATCTAAGAATCTAGAAAGATTTTATATTTCTGAAGATAATGTGCACGAAAACACCTATCTCTGTCACCAGCAGACATGAGAAACACAGCAAGGCTGCTTTAGGTGATAATTTGATAAATAAAGAAAACTTTGAACGCTACATCGCTGGGTCTCCTAGAAGCAAACTCTCAGGTGAAGAGAAGACGTATTTCAATATTTCATAAACTGATGAATCTCACCGTTACACTTCAGGAGCAAATGTCTGAAATCAGCTGCTCAGAACAATAACAGAATTCTAGCATAAAAGTTGCACTTTAAATAGCTAGTTCAATTTGACGAATTTACGATAGCCCCACAGACAACTGATTGATCTGAACATAAATCCAGCTTAAATATGTGTTCATAAAACTTGAATCGAGAGCAACAACAATACGATACCTGTTCGTCGCAAAGAATTACACTCAGTTTCTGATGTAATTGCGTAAACAACGTGGCGAGTAATCACAAAAAACAAGGTTCCATACAGAATGACTACCTGAAAAAATTACTCCGATGTCCAAGCTCATCATCCTTACCAAGTCTACGCTTCCCACAAACCCCGCAACAAATAATGTGACTATCAAGAAGGAAGAATCCGACACGTACAGCTTGGAGAACCGTGGTGTCGTCAGCGGAGGCTGATCCAGCAGTATCCCGCACGGAATGCGACAGCAACCGCAACCACATGGACCAGTTGCGATCATCTCCATTACCACCCTCCGCCATCACTCCTCCTCCAAACTAATTTCACCACTTCCGCTGCTCACACCAAAGCCTTGTAATCACCAACACATCAACCCATCACCACAAGGATATATCCTCCTTCCTCATCAAATTCTCGAACCCTAAAACCTCCCTCCTCCCAACTAAATGCTCAGAGCTCCTAAAACCTCAAAACTTCGCCAAACTTCCCTTTCTAAAAGCATTCCCTCCTCTGTAAACTATCCAGCCGTTTAAGACTCGGCAGCTATACAGGCACTGTGGACTTGTTCCAAACACATACATCAAAACTGGCCATCACGAATACCTTCCTCCAGCTCCGATTTCAACGTTATCTGTTCCACTAAAGTGAGTTAATCGCGAACTGTCACCAAGCACTTCGAATGAGAAATGAAATCTCCCATTAGATTCAGTTCCATTCACGATTAGGTGGAGTCCCTTGAGAAACATTTCAAAAAAACAGACATACCGGTACATCAGGCCCCGCACACGGCATACAAAGCGAGGGATTACTTCGAGATGCGCTGGACAGGAGCGATAAGCAGCCTTCGGGGATTGCAAGGAGAAAGAAGAGAACTACCGAACGAGATGGGTTAAAGGCGAGACATACGATGGACGTTCAATGCAGTTGGAAGTGTTGCACACAACTTGTGGCAAGATTTATTTTTACTTTTTACTTGTTTAGTATTCATTTCAATTCACACGTCGTGGTTGTGCATTTGTACCCGTTCAAAGGTTGAAATCGTTTGAAACCTACACAATGAACGTAAATAAAACATTGTACTAAGCAGTCTGAGAATTTCCATTTCTCCTTTTCGAAGTTCTCATTTTCAAAGAGATGGGTTTTTGACAACTCGTAAATTTTTTTGTAGAATATTCAATTCAGTCACCTGAGCAGGGCATGTCGAGGTCTAATCCACTCTATGATAAATCAATGGCAAAGAAAAGAGTCTGATAGATGCAGTAATTTATTTGTCACACCGCAATCCTTTGTTTCGCTCCTTGTCTGTTCCGACTTTGGAATAAGTGAAATCCGCATTCCAGGTACATTAGGAAATATGGATACGCAACGTCTACCTTACCCAATTGCTCAACTCTTTCGCTAGAAGGGGCAGCAGCGAAATGAAGAAAAAGAAAAAAGAAAAAACCCAGACACCATCGGTGACACATACTGTCATAGGTCATCCAGTAATTGTTGAGCTCTTTCTTTGACAAAATTAACTCAATCTCATCTTTCCAGTAGTTCCAGATTCTCCGACAGTTGTGACAGGTACATTTTTCAACACACGGGACAGGATGTTACTTTGCACTCGTTTTGTCATCTCGATAGAATTTTACATGTCCTTCGAATGCTTTGGCCTCGTTTACAGGCTCTGGAGAATTCCCAGCGGAAATTTGAATGAAATATTCACGAAGTTACCTCCGTATCTATGCCCCATGGAGCGCAAGAATCCACGTCACCCGGCAGATTAAACAACGATCACGTTGCTTCTTCGAAGTGAGCATTAGATACAATACCGATGCGAATTCACCTGCCCTGGATGGCACTTTTCACGGCTCGGTGTCGATTTCCCTGAACTGAAGGAACAGTTAGCAGGGGGTGACTAATTCTGTCCTTCAGTGTATTTACTGCAGCGCCATCCGAATTTGAAAATCCTTTAGACACTTCTCCATTCCTTCGTTAAATGGCAGGATTGTGCTGCACCGGCTATTTTAAAGAGTTCTAATTGACACCTTCTGTGCCTCCAGCAGGTGGTTTCTTGCTTTCCTGTTGCCAAGCATACTCCAACTGACCTAGCAGTGGGGTCGAATGCTTAGAGGTTCATAAGTATTGCCCCTTCTCTACTCAAATTCCAGCAATGCCTCATTTCTTGAAGAGATTATATTATGAGATCTAATGTTTACATCGTCTCTGCGAAAGGTTGGAGTGTTAAAAGCAGGATAGAAAGACACCTTTTTCATTGGCTTCACAATAGCTCTTGGACTATTCCACCTCCCTGCATTTGAATCTGAGTGCAATTCTATTGGTGTTCTTGATGAAAGAACAGGCTTGGTCTTGCAGGGTAATGTAGACATCTGTAAACACCCTCCTTTCACTAGATTTGATGTAGGCAAACACCAACTCGCACATCCTCCACCTTCTTACAAGTTTCAACAGTTAAAAAGAAAACACATGTGTGAATTACGAACCTCTTTATTCATCGGTATTCGATTAATGAAATGCCGACAACTAGTGCACTGCGATTTCTCATACTGACAGACCCGTTCGGCGAGAGCGGAATTAAAAGTTCTTGTCTGCACATGAACGCCGGAGTAATTAGTGCCAAAATAATCATGAGACAAGTACGCTGCTAATACATTTAAATTTGCCTCCGCAGCGTTTCGTTCTCATACTACATTCTATTACTTCAAAGCATGGCCATATACTTTAAGAGTCAAAATGTCAACTACACTTTAACGATGCGGTGAATGAAGCGACAAATCTACTCTGAGTTATTTAGCGTTGACATGACACACCTGTTTGATCCCGTCTATGAGGGACTCTACACAATCCCGAAGTTAGGAGATTTCTATCTGAAGGCTAACCTTAGTGTTGACCTCCAACTTCAAATTATTTTCTTGCTTGTGATGGTTTTATCGTAGATCAGATTTTATTTTTTTTAAAAGTGTCGAAAAATCCTGCTTGTAAGCCTTCAACTTGCAGCCTGGTTAGCAAATACCTGCCTTAGCAATAGACCCACCGATTGAGCCCTTTGGACCTGCGCAATCATCAAAGGATGTGCAAGAAAGGAGTGAAGTCAATCATGCGGTGTAGATGGTACTCGCCGTAAATTACCGTCAGAAAATGGCACCATGGACGCCAAAATTTTCAAAATTTGCTCATCCTAGCGGTTTGCATTGATGTGGTATCATAAAGGAGGCTCCTACTACATCCTACATAAAGCGTTTCCATGGAATAACCAAAATCCAAAGAGTTAACTCCGATTCGTTTACAACAATTTGCTGCCGTAGCTGTTGTACATCAATTGCAAACTGCTGGTTCTTATGCTTGATTTCATGTTCGCTTCTGAGAACTTGAGACAAACGACGTGCTCTGCGAGCTGCCGCAGAAAGATCAACACTTGACTTCATTCCACAGGCCTTGTCTACGGAGAATTTTTTCTTCCCATTCACTGATCTACTCATCATTCTGTTGAAAATCTCCTTATCCCTATCAGAGAGCATTGAGGATTTGCATTCAATTTTGCTATTTATGGAGGATGTAATGCTCTCCACAAAGTTCTTTCCAGCCGCATTTGCTTCCAGGACGCCAACGTCATATTTCTTCCTCAGTTCGTTTTGACCTTGATATTGGGGAGTGACTCATGCGCTTAGACTTCGTGGGAGACAGTTCAATAACATATCTTATCTTTGATGATGTTGCTGACAACTTCCGACCAGATACAAGGGGATTAGAATTCATGACGCACTGTCTCGACTTCGCTGCCATGACAGGCGATTTTCTGCTCAATTGTATTGTTCTGTCGTCGTTTCCAAGGCCAACATCCCCCTTCGATGGTCGCGAGGAAGCGTTTGTGGAGTCAGACCAGGCCTATCGTTGTACGGCTTTCGCTTCAAGTCGTCTTGTGTTTTTCACTGGACCAACGTCGCTTCCTTTTCCACCAAGGGCCTTGCAAAAGGTTCGCTTGACCTCAACTGTCTATGGTTCAGCATTTTGCTCTTGACTCAGTTGGATTGTGCTCGTGGAAAACATAGTGTCATTAAGGTCTTTCGGTTGCAAAGGGTCATCCTCTTGAAGCCCTTCTGAAGCAAAGCTCTGAAAAGATTCGAGCTCTTTGAGGCATTCAACGAGTTTCAATTTAATTGCTCTTTCACTATTCCACCTCGCATTGCCCCTAAAACTCCTACTCTGAGCATTTAGCCAATTAGATGTGCCTTCCAAGACGTCCGAAAGCCCCATCAGGGTTGGGGTTGAGGAAATGTTCATTGTCACTCCCAGCAACGACCTTGAAGTATGGTTCAACAGTTCCTCCGTCGCTCCAGAACCCTTCAATTGAGAGGCATTGGGGTTGTTCTTCATTTTCTTACAATATGCTCCAGCTGCACAAATGACCACAAAAGCATCTTTCATCCTACATGACAGAACTTGAGAGGACTTCAAAACAAGTGAGCATCGGCATTCGCCGACAAGCAAACGTTGATAAGACTTTTCAAGTAATTACGTGGTATTTTATTAGTCACTATTAAAAATTGGTACTTCAATCTCGAGGCATTTAAGTGCACATGTATATTCACGAAGTTTCTGAGTGGACAAGGGACTGGAAATCAACAAGCACAGCGTGTATGTACCTGACTTCATTGAGTTTGCTAGTCGTCGCCTCACATAGACATCTCGATCCATACTGTTCGCCACAGTTACAAAATGTCACTCCAACCACAAAAGAGTTCGTGGACCAGCTGAAGTGCATGTCTGAAGTGCTCAGAGAATCATTATCTTAACGAATACCTTGCGAGTGATGATTTAACGTCCGAGAGAGATCAGGAACTGGATCCAACCAAAGAAACTCACTGCTAGCTATATCATTCAGTATCAATGTCATCTATCCTCCCACGGTTCTTACAGGTGGCCATCACCACATATAGTTACGCTTGTTGTTCTTTCTCAGTGTGCCAAATTTCCACATGCACTTGGTAAGCCCTGGCGAAGCAACTTGTGATTTCAACACATAACAAACCAGTGTCGGGTTCTCTTAAACTCTATAATGTAGTGGCTAAGTTCACGTTAAGCTGCAGCGTGGATCTCGTCCCCCAACCCTCTTGCAATGACGTTCGCAAAGCAGTCACTTCACAAGAAGCAACTCTTCACGGCAACACTAGTTAACTACGAAAGTAAAAGCGTACACAGCACAAGCAAGACATCTTTTTCTAATACCAATTTACAGCTACCAAATCATCACCGCCATACCAAACAACCTTCCCCTATAAAAATTCTTTCCCGCTAGAACTTCCAACACGCAGGAAAAAGCAACAACGTCAACTATTATATCGTCATCAGTCAGCAACCAAACATAAATCACTGAATCAAAATGAGGCATGAGAAAAAATTCAAAACAAGTAATAACTTAAGAAAACAACAAAAAAAAAACGAAAAAAGGGAAATATCGAAAAGAAGAAGGGAAGTGACTTGAAGAGCGCGGAGAGGCAACGACGGTGATGATTGAATCAAGAGTACAGGTTGACCAGAAGAAATAATGCCGACAATCCACGGTTCCCCGATTGCCAATGTAATCTTCATTGACGGCATTCACGTTGAAGCTCAGTGCAGCTCGCGTGGGATCATACCCCTTCGTGTAGGTACCTCCTCAGAGAATTCGATATGAATTGAAAAACGATTACGAAACCAGAGAATGTCCGTTTGCGCGACGTTCCGACATTCTTAAATAAGACGGGTAATCACCTGCACTGCATCTCCGTGGAATCACGGATGCTATGTAAAACCTTAAAGATCATCAGTCCTCCATAGTCATTAAGGACACCGCAGGCTTACAAAGCTTGCACTGGAAAAACGCCGCAACTGGAAATGCCCAATGCCTAACTGCGAAGGGTTTGGATGAATTCCAATCATTCATCCAAACCGACGATCAGAGTTTGGCTGCCCTCTCCACAGTCGATTACGAATTTATTAATCCGTGATTAGCCTCTTAGTATGTTTATTGACATCATGACTTCGATTAGTACTGGGAACAGAGATCGCACGTCATTCAGAACGTGCTGTGGTTCTAATAGACTCATCATTTTCTTTCATTTTTAAAACACTGGTAAATAATTTGATTATTAAAATAACTTTTCATTTCATAATGATGCAAATTTTTAGCATTTTCCCAATTTTAATATTATTAATCAAGTAAGTAAATAAATCATTTGAGAAATTAACACAGTAACAAAAATAAGAATAAAATTCAAGAGAAAACTATTAAAACTTTGTTTGTAATATTGGACGTTTACTAACACAAGTATCAATAAACAGTAAGTAATTTACGTTGACGTATTATTATTCATTACTAATAATGGATTCCAAAAATTAGATACACTAAGATATAATTGATCTTTAAAAAAAACTATAAGTTTGAAAATAAATGTTTTAGACTATTTAAAAGCAAATACACATTTTGGAATTTTAGTTCAACTTGCCAAAATTTATATAAATAGATTAAATTTCTCATTTAGTAATTTATTTTTCAATTATTTTGATAATTTATTATATTTTATAAATACATTATTAAATATAAAATACATAATCAAATCAAATAACTATAACTAATTTAAATGACAAGTTTTCATATTTCAATTTTAGCACTATATATCTATCTATCTATCTATATATATATATATATATATATATAAACTACATAAAATTCAATAGAACTAATTCATATATATATATATATATATAAAAGATATTCAAAAATACCAAATTTCAACAAAAAAACATATATTGTTTGATATAGCAAAAAATATAATTTTTAAATTATTATTATACTATTAAGTTGAATTAAAAAAACAAAATTAAACTATTATAGATAGGTAAATTCTAAAAATTATGAAAGATACCTTATGTTTTTTCAGATTTCTTGATTACTATTGGATCTTTATCAAGAATTTTTTCAAATTGCAACTCCACTTATATGTTTAACTTGACAAACTTGAGTGGAATAAAGAAGTTGATGCAACATTTGTACCTTTGAAGTCAACTTTTACTACAACCTCAATCTTATATCATATTGACTTTTTTAAAGTATTTTTTTATAGAAACAAACACATCAAAATTTGCTTTGAATGTAATATTGTCATAAATGGGAGTAGATGACAAACTTTACTTATTAGTTTTTCATTCAAGAAAATTTTCAACAATCAACATTAACTATAAGATCCATAATAAAGAATTTTTTTCAATTGTAAATTCATTTCAAGTTTGGCTCCACTATTTAGAAGATGTTTCAAATTTCGTAACTATTTACTCATATCACAACGACCTTGCGTATTTTATATTAATACATATTTTAAATGGTTGCTAATCTTATTAGAGCATGTCCTTGTCATAATTTGAATTCAAGATTATTTTAAATATTATGTCATTTTTAATCAACAACATACAATTATTTTTAAAGCTAGAGCTATTTCATCTTTGAACTATATAATCAACATTAACTACTAATTTAATCCTTTATAAGAAAGTTCAATCAAGTATGACCTTAAATCCTCTTATTCATGATATTAAAATAAATATTTTTAAATTACATGATATTTTTAATTTTAAATTCAAAAATAATATTTTTTATTCCAAGATATATTCATATGTTTTAAAATATAAACCACAACTATTTATCTTTAAGCTGATTATAATTTTCCAATTGTGAGATATTTTAGATATAATAAGACTTAACAGCTAATATTAATAGATTTTTGGTGGTTTCAAATATAAAAGATAGTTAAAGACTTTGTACAAATATGTTATATTTTTTCAAGATCAAAAACTCTTTATTATTGTCCTTATTGACTTTTCCAACTATAATCTAAATCAAAACAATTGTAGTTGTGATTTCTATTGATTTTATCACAAATCTTTCAATTTCAAGTTATTATGACTTTATATTTGTGATAGTAGACTATTTTATAAAGATAGCATATTTTTGCACTAAATACAAAAACTACCTTAAGTGAAGAAAAAATTAAATTTTTTCTTGATAATATTTTTTGCTATTATAGATTGCCAATGAATATTATATTTGATAGAAAACTCAATTTGTATCAAGATTTTGAAAGAATTTTTTTAAGATATTGAAGATAGATATAAATTTTTTAAAAAAAATTCCATCATTACATTGATAGATAATTAATATATATAAATTAAAATTTAAAGAAGTATCTAAGATATATTATTTAATTACTACCAAGATGGTTAGATAATTTCTTTGTCATTGGCAAATTTTGCTTGTAATAATACAATACATTCTACAACTTAACAAATATCTTTTAAAATTAATTATATTTAATATTTACAATTTAATACTTTTTACTTCTCAAAATTTATCAGATTGTCAAAAAGAATTGGCTTAAATTTATCAATTCAAATGTATCAAATTAATTTGACTTAATATTTTTACTTTCTCAGAATATTTGACTCATTATTTTGACTTTTATGAATGTTATTAATAAGAGTATTAACTTTTTTGTTGTATTTGCAAGATTTTTAGTTAACTTTTATATGTATTCATTAATATCATATATGAACTAATATACAATATTGTCAAAGATATGAATCTCAATGAAAAAAATCCTCAATATACTCTTGTGTTACTCAAAAAAATTAAAAGTCACTCAAAGATGATATAATATTGAACTAAAATGGCTATTGCCAAAGACAAGAAGACTAGAGAGTCTTGAAAGAAGATTGAGGATTAGAAAAGAATTAATAAGAGTGAAGAACGCTTTGGTCTTGCTTTTATATATATTCTTAACTAGAAGCTATATGGCAATGTTCTATAGGACATCTAAAATATGTTGACTTTGTAAGAAACTATCAATAAACTACAAACACATATAAAGTCAAAACCGTATCAATGAAGCTTCTAAGAAGTTTTTTTAGAAGACATTATGAAATTAATTTATATTTATCTACTTCTACCTAATCATAAAGATAATTATTGAAGTAAATACATATGTTTGTGACACAATCATGGATATAAAATCATACAAATATGAAATTAAAATTTTTGTGATAAAATCCATAGAAACAGAAGACCATGATTGTTTCAAAATAAGTAATGGCTGAAGAAGTCTATAAGATTGATAGCAAGGAGTTTTGGATCTTGAATAAATACCATATGATTGTACAAAGTCTTTAATTGCTTTTTATATTTGAGACCAACAAAAATTTCTAGATATTAGCTCTAAAATCTTCTTATATCTAAAATGCCCAATTGTTGGAAAGTCATGATAAGCTTCATGCACATATATTGTTTTGTCTTTTAGAATGTATAATTTTTCCTCAAAATAGAATAGATTATTCTTGAATTTGAACTTAGAAGTATCATGAGACTTAACAGAATTATTCTTGATATCATGAATAAGAAGATCAAAGTACATACTTTATTGAATTTGGATGATAAAAGTTGAATTATCAGTCAATCTTAATTTTATTATTCTGAGATGAAAATAAGATGATAAGAATGTTTAGAAAGCGTGTTTGAAAAACCTCCTTATTTTTCAAGTTAATAAGTAAATTTGAAATGAAATCTTGATAAAGACATGCTCTAAGGGGCTTGACAACAATTCAAAATACATGCCAATATAAAGTATTCAAGATTCTTATGATCTGTATATATGATAATTGGATTAAATGCGCCTTCTGTCACGAATATACTCATGTAAGCTAGTAATTACATATAAAAATAGGTGGAAGTAAGTAAAAATAGGTAAAAGTAAGTTAATTCTATAATATTTAATATGGAAGCATCCTAGAAGCTTCATAGATGCTGCTTTGACTTCATAAGTGTCTTTAATTGATTTTTTGGATTAGAAACGCGGTCAACAAGTTGGCCATGTGCCACACATGTTGTTAGCTTGAAGATCAAGCTAACTATGTGGCCCACACGTAGAAAAACTTGCCTTGTAAGTCAAGGCATGTGTCCTACAAAGTCAACACATATTGAAGGTCCTACAGAACGTCGCCACGTAGTCCCTACTTAGATAGTATATATAGAGACAAGAGTGAAGCCCTCTTCACCCTTGTCAACTCCTTTCTTGCTTCCAGTCTAGTTTCAAGGGTCTCTAGTTTTCTTGTCTTTTGGCAATAGCCATTCTAGTTTCTCTTTCAATATACATACTTGGTTATTTATATTTTATTATCTTTCTTTAAGAGAAGGCTCACTTGTCTGAATTACTTTTTCATCGAGTTCTTGTCCTTGACAAATTGACAAGAGTACACTTACAATATCAGAGCTTTGTCTAATCTTGATTAAGAGTGGATTATCCCTTTTTCTTGATAAGATATAAGCATATTAGAAGTTGAGGATTACCCTCTTTTAAACTAATATTGTTCTTAGTATTTTCTTTGTTCCCAAGTCATCTCTTCTATTTATCTTGAGCGATATTAGACATCTTTTCTTTTCTAACTGTTATCATGGTAGAACTTGTTGAAATGAAGAGTGCAATGGCACAAATGCAAGAGCAATTGAGGGAATTAATGCTTGCGATGCATCAACTCTATTTACCACCATAAGGAGCAACAAGATTGGCAGGAAGTGAACATATAGAAATGGTTGGAGCTGCTTCAACATCTACATCAAACTATGTCCTTTCTCCAATAATGAAACGCCCTTCAAATGTTAAAGAACCAAGAATTACTCTACCCAAGAAGTTTGATGGCACCAGATCCAAGTTTTGAGGATTTATCAATCAAGTGCAACTTGTGATTGAACTTCAACCCCAAAGCTATCCAACTCCAGGATCGCAAGTTAGATTCATTGGTACGCTTCTTTTAGGTT